ACCCACTGGGAGTGGGGTTTTCTAAAGTTTATAGGGACTCCAAGCTTTAAATTTCTGTGCATGCCTGAAAATTTCAACTCGCTGTCATGTGTGTGTTGTTACTGATCAGTTCTTCACCTGGAAGCATGGTGGTGGGCAATGGATGTCCTGGTGGTGCTGGGAGATCAAGGGGAAGGTTGGTGTCAGGGAGGCTCCTCAGATAAGCATCCGAATCCAGAAGGTTGGTTAAAGGCATTCCACTGCTGAATCCACCAAGTCTTTGCTCAGTGAAGTTGCCAGGTTTTCCGATACTCGAAACCCAGCTGACAAGATAAATTTGAAATATTAAATAAAGGTCAAGTTTGCAGCCTCATTACAATAGTTAATGTTCCAGCCCACCACCTTGATACACGTTGGTCATCCATTCACCTTCTGGCTTCCAATATAGCTGGAAATGGGCAATCTAGGGGTGGGTTTTGGTCGAGGGACAGATTATTCTAACTTTAATTATCCACTGATCCGACCGTCCCTTTGTATTTTCAGTTAATATTTCCCTGTTACCTCTGTTTATTTCTCTACACTTCTGCCTGGTTTAAGTGTTTCTAACATGCCAAGAGTAGCACCAGGCTTACTTAAAATGAGTTATCAACCTAGTAAAGTTATGGAACAGAACTACTTGTGTGCCAACAGCATAAGCAGCAAGTGGTGGTCAGAGCCAAGTGATTCCACAAAACTGAAGATCAGGTGCAAGTTTTGCAGTCCTGCCACATTTAGTCATGATTGGTGTGGACAATTCAATGATTCACTGGTTGAGGCACCGCCACAAACATCCCCATCTTCCATAATAGGGAAGCCCAACACACCAGTGTTTCAAGTGTTTGCAGTAATCTTCAGCCAGAAGTGCCAAGTCAATGATCCACCTCTGCCTCATTCAGTGTTGCCCAGCATCACAGATGCCAGTGTTCAGCCAATGCTGTTCACTTCACATGATATCAAGAAAAGTTTGGAAATGCTAGATATTGTAAAGGCTTATGACCCTGACAACATTCTGGCAATAGTACTAAAGATCTGTGCTCGAGAACATGTTGCACCCCAAGCCAAGTTGTTCCAGAATAGCTACAACACTGTTGTCTACCCAAACGTGTGGAAAATTGACCAGGTACAAGAGAAGTGGAACTAATTGCTATCCAGCAATCACTGTCACATCAATTTACTTTTGATCAATAGTAAAGTGATGGAAGGTGACATCAACAATGCTATCAAGCAGCATTTGCTTAGCAATAACCTGCACACTGAAGCTCCGTTTGGGTTCTACCAGAGCCAGTCAGCTGCTGACCTCATTACAGCCTTGGTTTATATATGGACAAAAGAGTTGAATTTGAAAGGTGAGATGACAGTGACTACCCTTGACATCAAGGCTACAAGTGACTAAGTCCAGCGTCAAGGAGCTCTAGCAAAACTGGAGTCCCTAAGTCCGGGAAAACTTCCTGCTGGTTGGAGTCGTACATAGAACAAATGAAGGTGGTTGTGATGTTTGGAGGTCAGTCATCTCAGCTTCAGGACATCTCTGCAGGAGTTCCTCAGGGTGTTGTCCTACGCCCAACCATCTTCAGTTGCTTTAACAATGACCTTCCCTCCATCGTTAGGTCAGAAATGGGGACATTCATTGTGCAGTCATCAATGTTCAGCATCATTCATGACTCCTCAGGTACTGAAGCAGTCTACACCCAAATGCAACAAGATGATTAGGGATCGTCAACATGGCTTTATGCATGGAAAATTGTGTCTCTCTAACTTCATAGAGTTTTTTTGAAGAGGTGACAAGATTGATGAAGGCAGAGCCTTAGACATTATCTATATGGACTTCAGCAAAGGTTCTGCATGTAAGGTTAGGTCACATGGCATATCTGGGAGAGCTAGCCAATTGGATACAAAATTGGCCTGAAGGTAGTAGACAGGGTGGTGATAAAGGGTTGCTTTTTGGACTGGAGGTCTGTGACCAGTGGTATGCCAGTAGGATCGGTGCTGGGTCCACTGCTTTTCATCATTTATATAAATGATTTGGATGTGACTATAGGAGGTATGGTTAGTACTTTTGCTGATGACACCAAAATAGGTGGTGTAGTGGACAGTGAAGAAGGTTATCAGCAAGTACAACGGGACCTTGACCAAATGGGCCAACGGGCCAAGAAGTGGCAGATGAAGTTTAATTTAGATAGATATGAGGTGTTGCATTTTGTAAGGCGAACCAGGGCAGGACTTGAACAGTTAATGATAGGGCCCTGGGGGGTGTCGCCCAACAAAGAGCCTAAGGGTGCAGGTGCATAAGTTGATAGAGTGATGAAGAAGGTGTTTGCCATACTTGCCTTGATTGGTCAGAACATTGAGTATAGGAGTTGGGATGTCATGTTGCAGCTGTACAGGAGTGTGGTGAGACCGCTTTTGGAGTACTGCGTACATTTCTGGTTGCCTTTCTACAGGAAAAATGTTGTTAAACTTGAAAGAGTTCAGAAAAGATTTAAAAGGATGTTGCCAGGTCTAGAGAGTTTGAGTTATATGGAGAGTCTGAAAAGCATGGGCTTTTTCCCCTGGAGCATCAAAGGCTTACGGGTGATCTTATAGAAGTTTATAAAGTCATGAGGGTTGTGGATGGGGTGAATAGTCAAGGCCTTTTTCCTAGGGTTGGGGAGTCTAAGACTAGAAGGCATAGTTTAAGGTGAGAGGGGAAAGATTTAAAAAGGACCTGAGGGGTAACTTTCTCACGCAGAGGGTGTTGTGTGTATGATATGTGCTGCCAGAGGAAGTAGTGAAAGCAGGTACAATTACAAATTTAAAAGGCATCTGGGTGGATATATGAATAGGAAGGGTTTATAGGGATCTGGGCCAAATGCTGGCAAATGGGACTAGGTCAGGTTGGAATGTCTGGTTGGCATTGGCAAATTGGACTGAAGAGTCTGTTTCCGTGCTATATGACTGTATCTGGACAATATCCAGGCTTGAGCTGACAAGTGCCAAATAACATTTAAGCCTGGCTTTTCCAAGGCAATGATCATTTCCAACAAGACAGAAACTAACCATCATCCCCTGACATTCAGTGGCATCACTATCTGGGAGTTACCATTGACCAGAAACTGAACTGGATGAGACATTATAAGTACTTAGTCAGAGGCTAAGAATCCTGCAGCAAGTAACTCACCTTCTGACTCCCCAAAGTCTGTCACCATCTACAAGGCACAAATCAGGAGTGCCTTGGTATATTCCCCATTTGCTTGGATGAGTGCAGCTCCAACAATGCTCAAGAAGCTTATCTAGCCTATTTGATTGGCACCACAACCACAAACATTCGGGCCCTCCACCACCAATAGTCATAGTGCACTAAGAAGCACTGCAGAAGTTCAGCAAGCCTCCTAAGATAGCAGCTTCCAGGACCACAACCACTACCACGTAGAAAGACGAAGGCAGCAGGTATATCAGAACACTATCACCCGCAAGTTCCTGTCCAAGTCATTGAACTTCCTGACTTGGAAATGTATCGCTGTTCCTTCAATGTTGCTGGGTCAAAATCCTGGAGCTTCCTTCCTAATTAAATTGTAGGTGTACAAATGGACTGCAGCGTTTCAAAAAGGCAGTTCAGCTCCACCTTCTCAAGGACAACTGGGGATAAATGCTGGCCCAGCCAGCAGTGCCCACATCCTTTAGGTAATTTTAAAGAAAAACTTTCTGTTCATATTTGTTTTCTAACACCTATCGTATTTTGCTTTTTTCTGCAAATTCTGATGTGCAATTAGTCATGTAAATAATATAATTTGAACTGGTTAATGTAAGACATTTCAGCAAGCTGAATTTGGACATCATGAACTACTTAAGCATTGATTGTGTGGAAAAGGGCTCTAGTGATGTGGTACTGTCCCTACTCTGAGGCAGGATGCATAATATCATTAAACCAGGTTTATGACTAGACTGTGTGGGAAAACATCATGCAGTTTCTGAATATTCTTATCAGTACTGAAAATAATTGTATAGCTTTGATTGTGCCGCATGCATCTTGATGTTTTTTGGTGGGGGTGCATTTCTGGATCATATGAAATTCATTTTTCTGTTAATTCTACATAATTTAACCAGTTTACAATAATCATACTTTTTGAATTTGGTAAATAACTTGACGAATATATTTGGTGTTTAGTTACTAACGTTTGTCTATTACCAATAATGCCATGGATCAAATTGAATGACTAAGGTAGATACATGAATGAAATGCATTGGTGAAACCTTTTTTATTCCATTTTTTCCTCTTGTCCATCAGTCTTAAGAAAAGGCTATATGGATGTAGTAGTTGAGCTGCTGAGCACTCGCACTACTTCCAGCTTCCCAACATCATCTAACTCTGCAGATACTGAAACCTTCCTGTTACATCTGGACTTGACCATTACAATAGTCTGCTGTTCATGCTCACGTCTTTCACTTACCATAAACTTCAGCACATCTATAATGTCTGTTGCCCATTTCTTAACTCATATCAACTCGTATTCACCAATCACTGCTAAGTGACCTATATTAGCTTCCAGTCTGGCAAAGTCTTAAGTTTAAAAAAATTCATTCTTGATTTCAAATCCCTCCATAGCCTTGTCATAGTCTCTCTCCATGACTTCCTCCAGTCTGCCCCAGCCATAAGCTTTGGAATTCACTCCTTAATTCCCTGGTTCTCCTCCTTAAGATGCTCATTGAAATTTATGTTTTTGACCAGGGTTTTCCATCTGCACCATTATCTCCTAATATGGTTTTGTGTCAATTTTTTTAATAATGTTCTGTAATAATGTTTTGTTATAATCTTTAATAATATTCTTGTGAAATCCCTTGGGATATTGTACTGCATTAAAAGTGCAAATACAGTTTATTGCAGTGTTAGTAACACTAACAGAGAGACTAATTATAAGAATTCTACATACAATTTTACAGTTTACATTTTCAAAGTTTTTGGATCTGGTAGATCTTTCATTCTGTTTCTATTTTTTTCCTAACAGGAAGCAATACAAGACATTGTATTAGCTCTACAGGTGGATCAAAAGTTCGCAATCCAAGAAATCTCATCTCTGAAGGTTGAAGCTCAAAATCTAATTAGCTGCTGGCTGCGTGATCACTGTATTAGCACTGTAACCAGAATGGCAGAAGCAAAGGCAAAAGTCTTCAGAGAAGAGCTTGTTAATCTTCCCGCAATTGGCCAATCTCTACTCCTGATAAATGGGAGAGATTCAACCTGGCACATCCTATACGTTGATATGTTGATTGCAGAAGGTAAAGTTCAAAAGCTTTAAAGCATTAAGCTTAAAATCGTACTTGATTTTCATGTTGTTCTCTTTACAGTCAGACATCTTCACAAAGGAAAAAAAATGCAGACATTCAAGTTAAAGGGGAGGAATTTGAAATATTACATTATATAACCATTCTGAGAAGGATATCACTGGAGGGAATGACCTCCATGAATGTGGATGTATCATTGTTCAAAAAGGGTGTGAGGGAGAGGTCAAATAATTTTAGGCTGATCATACTGACCTCCCTGATGGCCAAGTTACTGGAATCAGTATTCAGAGAAGGGATTAGCCCTTACTTAGAAAGGCCTGGGTTTTTGAGGAGAAGTTTGTGTTGCTAATTTAATTGAATTTTTTGAGTAAGTACAAGGAGAGTTGATTGAAGGTAATTTAGTGTGTGTTGTTTATATGAATTTTAGTAAGGCATTTAACAAGGCCCCACATAGACTGGTCAGAAAAGTTAAAGTCCACAGAAGACAGGGAATGTGGAACTTAAAACTAAAATTGGCTCAGTGACAGGAAACAAAGAGTACTCGTTGACAAATGTCTTTGCAAGTGGAAAGCTGCTCCCAGTGGAGTTCCATAATACTCATTGTTGGATCTTTTGTCATTTGTGGTATGTATGAATGATTTAGACACACATGTAGAAGGTTTGATTGGGGAATTTGCAGGCGGCACAAAAGTTAGCCAAGTAGGCAACAGTGAAAAGGATGGCTGTCGACTGCAGGATTATATCAGTAATATGATTGAATTCCATTTGCCATTTTTCCGCATGCTCGGTCTGGAAAGATGCAGGGTTATGCATTTGGGGAGGGCAAACAAAGCAAGGAAATACAAGCCAATTGGGAGTAAATTATGAAAGGTAGAAAAATTGAGAGACCTTGGAGTACATATCCAGAGGTCCATAAAGTTTGCATAACAGATAAGAGAGTACATACAACCTATGGAATCCTTTCCTTCATTGGATGAGGTATTCAAAAGCAGGGATGTAATATAGGAACTATTTGAGACACTGGAGGTTTGTTTGCAGTTGTGGTCACCACTGTAGAGGAAGTAGTATGTAATGCAAATACGAGGTGAGAAACACAATTTTTTGCAGAATGAAATGTCTGAGCTTTGAACGCCTGGAAGTGTAATGGAGGCAGGTTTAGTTGAAGCATTCAAGAGTACATTGGATGATTACTTAAATAGAAACAACACGTGATGATGGCAAACTCATGTTTTTCCAAAGTCAAAGTGCACTGAATAGCCTCTTCCAACCTTGTACCAATTCCATAATTCTCTGAATTGGTCTGGAGAGAGAACAGGGGAAATTTGCAACAAAGTTGCCAAAGCTTGAAAATTACAGCCAAGGAAAGATTCAATAGACCATGCCAGTTTTTCTTGGAGTAGAGGTGGCTGAGGGGTGAATTAATTGAGATGTGCAGAGTAATTGAGGGCTTGGATAGAGTTGACAATAAAGACCTGCTTTCCCGATCAGGAGGTATAGAATTTGATTGTGCGGCTAGTTTATTCAGCTGGCGCAGGCACAATATGCTTATATGGCCTCTTTCTATGCTGTAACTTTTCTATGATTCTGTGCTTTATCTAAAGACAGAATATGACCAGACAGGAGATCAAACGGAGAGAGAATATCTTGGATGTATTTCTCTCAAAATTCTTGAAAGAAATCTTTTGTCTGAGCACAAATCTTCCTTTGTCGAGAAAGTTTGGTACAATCATAGCACTAATACAATGATATACAAATTTAGATTAAATCTAATGTACCATACATATGTTCTTTGGAACTTCTATAATATTTCTAAAAGTGGGTTTCAGAACAAGCAAATTTGTAGCCACTAAACCTGTCTAAGATGTTGTAGTTTTAAATTCCCTTATTTTGACATGATGAACTATAACCCTAGATTTTGAAAACAGTATCTCATAAATGTATCCTTTCTGCAGAAATGTATGATGATGCCTTAAAACATCTGCAGGAAGTTTTTGGACCAGTTCCTATTGATGATGCTGCCTCGGCCAGGTATGGACTCATTCAAATGAAGAGAGAGAATGTCCAGCATGCTGTGCAGAATCTGAGCATTCTTGCTGAAAAGAACAACAAGGACTTGCAGTTTCTGTTACTGTTCCTGGATAACAAATCACGTTGCCATGTGGCTCAGGTAATACTTTGTGATTCAAGAAGCCAGACCATCACCTGCTCTGGAGCATGTGGGGAATTGTATTGAATGCTAGTCTTGCAATGAATTTCACATCCCAGTGAACATATTTTTAAAAATAATTGCACCATGAGAACAAGGAGATTTTGCTATTTGTGGAGTTCTGCTGAGACCTGTGCAATGTTACCTCTCAGCTGCCCAAATTGCTCAGAGTTGGAGCATGCTAATCAGTGTGCGAATGCATTGACTTTCCATTCTAAAGGTCATTTGAACACATAGACGGAGATCCATGGAGCAACAGAAAAAAACTGAGGGAATGTAGGACATATGCATTCTTTTAGACTCCTTACCTAAGGAATAATGTATTTGACTTGAGTACAATGAAGATTTCACAAAATTGATTTATTAGGAAGACAGGGCAGTCCTGTGAGGAAAAATTGACTTAGAAGGATCTAATTTGTCTGGAGGTCAGAAGAATGAGAGTTTATTTAGGTGAAATGTATAACTATTTTCCCTTTTGAGAGGGCTTGATAGGATAGGTGGTGAGAGGCTGTTTCCCTTGGTTGAAGAGTGTAGCACTAGGAATTATAATATCAGGCTGGGGGTTGGCCATTTCTCCGCTGACATGAGTAATTTCTTCACTGACAATTGTGAATCTTTGAAATTCTGTACTCCAGAGAGCTTTGGTGCTCAGTCATTAAGTATATTAAAGATTCAAGGTCATTAGATTTTTAGGCACTGAAGGGGAGTTGAGGCATATGGAAATGAAGTGGGAAAGTGGCGTTGACGAAGAAGGCTGGGTGTGATCTTGATGGAGCAGGCTTGACAATTCTTTTTTTTTGATATTTTGGATCAATTAGAGTAGAGTTGTTGCTACGCTTGTCATATAATCTGTGCAGCTGTCAATTCGTAGGAGATGGTTAAAGAATGTTGGTTAAAGTTGCAGGATTTTCTGCCTATATCTTAACTGAAAGGTGACACCCAAACAATGCAGTACACCCTGTCAACTAAATTGAAGAAAGCATTAAGGTGAAGGGTAGGATTTTCCTGTGAGCACCTGGAACCCTCTTGTCAAAAGAAAACATCAGGCTGAAATGGAGCCAGAAGCTCACTGGTTAGAATGTTACTCACCTGTGATTTTATTTTCCCTCTGAATTGGCTAGTTATTGTTGATGGGTTGGATTGCTTCCAGTTAAGGTCAGATTATAGATACTTAAGGCTGAGAGATAACAAAAAGCTCCCCCACTCCACTCTCGCTTGAAAGCAACAGCAGGATGTCATGGAAGGTAAATGACAGAGGGGTCCCCAAAATGGAGTATTTTGTATTAGAGAATTTTTTTTTAAAAAAAAACTTTCACAGCTGGGCCATCATGGTATCTGGTGCATACTGTGAAGAGAGCCAATGACTGCTGATGAACCCAGGCAGGAGGGCCACTAAGCCAGTTCGTGAATTGGACCAAGCTGCATTTCAGGCCTGTTATCTTGCTTTCTCCATGCTCATTCAGTTAGTGTCTGCCTGGATGCTCATAGCATCCCTACCTTGCCTTTTTGTGTTGTGCCCACATAGATGCACAATGTTCTTGATTTGCCTTTTAACATGGAAACAAAACCAGGACATAGTTGCCAACACTCATCAGTCAAGGAAGTGGACGTGTTGTCGTATGGAACCATGCTATGTCATTCTCCCATCTGCACCATGTACTAGCAATGTACATGTCAAAAACACTGCATGTGCTACCTCAGATGGCCGTGTCTTAGAGTCTATTGGGAGTAGTCCTCAGTCAAGTTAAAGGAGACAGTCAGGGGTCCTGGCACAGCAAGTCAAAGGCAACCTCTGATATCACTCTAGCAGTTTGGACACAGTCATTTTTCTGCTCAGAGTGGTCAGAATTGGGATTCACTCCTTACAGATGGTGAAGGGCCAAATGTTGGGTACCCCACTATGCCTTGGCTCTTTGTGCCCTTTCATTCTTTTCTCCTGGTTTGACAGGAAAGAAAGTATTGAGCGAGATGAAAGTAGTTGGTACAGTTGTTAGTGCTAGGCCAGGTGGGGGAAAAGTGGCAAGGTGTCCTGAATGAGTGAGTAGGTAGCATAGAGGCCATGCAGAGTTAGTGCTTTGGGGGATTTGGTTGGATAACAATGAGTGAGGAATATGTTGAATGTAATTATGAATGAAAGAGCTTGAGCCTTGGTCGGAGGTATGTGCAATCAAAGATGGTGAGTGTGAGGTAGCAAAGAGAAGATGGTGCCACTCACTCAGAGCAGAGAAGGCAATTGACTTTCTTACTACATTGCTGGGTGTTACTGCAGATGGCTGAGACAACACTAACACTTGTAGCAACCTCAGACTAAGTTGGCAGTGTTTGGTGTTCTGGCCTCCTCTGCAGATGCTATGGGAAGAGTGTTTCCCTCCTCTGCACCAGCCTGTCCACTAGGATTCCCAGATCACAGTTCGCAGTGCGGACTGCGGTTTTCCCCTTATTTGTCACAGTCCGGGTAAAAATCACAAACCATGTAGGGCAGCTGTGGGTTGACCGTGCTTGACGCTACACTTTTTAAAGGTGACGTCTGTGCTAGGGATCCTAAAATATCCCAGCAGAGGCAAGTACATCAGCTAACGTGAGTGGGAGAATTGTGCTAGCATTGGATGAGAAGTTCAGTGGAGCATGATAGGTAGTTAATGAGGCAAGTTTGAACAATAGCACAAGATAACTCGTTAGGCCTCATGAGAGAAACCCTCCATGAAAGTGAGTTAAAAATTATATTCTGCCAAAATATGGTAAAATTCAGCCCCAGGCTATAGAATTAAAAAGGATCAGTATAGACAGATTGACTTAAATTTTTTAAAAAATCACTAAAATCAGTTGATCCCAAATTATATACTGAGCTAGATGACCTGAATCAGAACTGCAGTGCATAACTGTAGGACATTTGTGGATTATGAGAAAGAAATCAGCTAGATTCCAAATCATTATCTTGGCAACCCTTGCTGGAAACCGTGCAAATTAGGATAGCATTACAGTTGAAGTTTCAGTACACCCTATGTCCTTGAGCACCACTCATCCAGTACTCAGTGTAAAATTTTATATCGGGATATTTGCCATTGGTTACGGTACTGTATTTGATGAGCACTTCTGTATCAGATTCCATAAAGAATTCGAATTGCCCGGAGAAAAACTGACAGGGAAAACAAAATGAAAAGAGAGAAAGCATAGGTACAGAGAATGGAAGAAAATAAATCAGAACTGGGATTTTACATTTTGGAGTTGAAGTATGGCGTTAAGCATGTTGATTAGTATCATACCAGCTAATAACTGTGTAAATTATCTTGTGCGATCACATGCTTTTCAGCTTATCTGTGCAAGTGAGATGTTGTGTGGGTTATTCAGAGGATCAAATACTGAAATGGCAGGCCTCAGGCGGGATCTCCTGGGTTAAAGGTTCTGGTGATATAATTAAAGACCAGCTGGACACCACTTCGCTTTCATGCAAGCCAAGATCGCCCCTCGGCCTGTGATAGTCACCCCTCAATTCTCAGAAGTTCAAGTGAGTTCTCAGGTTTTCCAGTGAAACCCACTTGAAACAGTTGGACAGATTCATCGACAAAAGGGACATCCGCTTCCCAGGTGACTGCACCAGGAAGCCGTCACAGTCTGGGACAAGATCACAGCAGAAGTCAGTGTATTAGTCCACCCCAGATCACGAGAAAGCAGCACAGAAATAAAAGTCAATGATCTCACGTGCTCCACAAAGGTGAATGGCACCACCATCACCTTTTTACTACCTCATTCATAGGGGCATAGCATTGTGTTCTGTTCTTAGATGTGCAGGAAGGTAAACACCTTGTTCTGCATTAGCTTTTCTTCATCATCCCAAAATAATTCTCTCTTCTGTGGGCACTAGTGCCACACATAATCCCGCACGGCAAAAGTAGCCATTGTCCAAGCCCTCTGCATCAACACTGCCTCTGAGGAGAAAGACAATGAATCCTTTGAGGATGCACTGGTAAGGCAAGACACTCAGCTGCGCCCTCCACCAGCACAGAGACCTTAGTAGCTACCTAAGCAAGAGTAGACTAAGACACAATCTGGCGAGCACATCACAGACTTGTCTGTAGCCAGTGGAGAAAGAAACTGCAAACGTTCTGGCACTTGGAGGATTGCTGGAGAACAGACCAATGTAGATGGTGTGCATCAGTAACCAGCCACAACCAGCAGAAAGAAATGAAGTATCGGGCAGGTGTGCCAGAAGTCCTGAGTGGACTAGACCAAAAGATGATGAATCCATTGTCACAATCCACTAAGAGTACTCTGGAAATTGAGCTGAAAATTGTTCATAAAGAGAGTAAACATATAAACATAAAAAATAGGTGCAGGAGTAGGCCATTCGGCCCTTTGAGTCTGCACCATCATTCAATATGATCATGGCTGATTATGTAATGTCAGTATCCCATTCCCACTTTCTCTGTATACCCCTTGATCCCTTCAGCCGCAAGGACCACATCCAGCTCCCTCTTGAATATATCTGATGAACTGGTCCCAACAGCTTCATGGGGGAGAGAATTCCACAGATTCACAGCTCTCTTGAGTAAAGAAATTCTTCTCCATCTCAGTCCTGAATGGCTTTCCTGTTATTCTTAGACTGTGACCCCTGGTTCTAGACTTTCCCAACATCAGGAACATTCTTCCCTGTCCTAACCTGTCCAGTCCCATCAGGATTTTAAATTTCTGTGAGAACCCCACTCATTCCTCTAAGTTTAAACTCAGTCAGTCCAGTCTTTCCTCATATGTCAGTCCTGCCATCGAGGGAATCAGTGTGGTGGACCTTCGCTGGATATCCTCAATGGCAAGAACGTCTTTCCTCAGACTAGCAGACTAAAACTGCACACAATACTCCAGGTGTGGCCTCACTAAGGCCCTGTTTAACTGCAGCAATACTCCGATACTCAAAATCTCCCCGCTATGTAGCTTTCCCCTCTGCCCGCTGTACCTGCATGCCAACC